GAAAAAGAAGCGGAACAATAAGGTTCGATTGATTGGAAGATTGACAGAGGAAATTTAATTGACACATTAAGAAGTGTTACGAGTCGGATAAGTCGCGTTCCATTTTAATAGTCCCATTGGTTTATATAAGTATATATATATATGAATGCAGTTGGCTGTGTTGAATGTGTATATGTGAGTGTGTGAGTCTGAAGAGAGCCGTTTCTTGCGAGCTGTGGTCGCCGGCGATAAATGGTTGACAAGTTAATAGAAACATCAGGGTCATTATCAACATGACTCGGTCGGTTTGGATGATGTTGGAAAATATATTTATATATATATCTATCTATAAGGAAAGGCAGTATCGAATGTTGGACTACGACTAGGAAGTACTAGTACTAGTACCATGATCATTATTATTATTATTATTGTAGTCATCGTTTGCGCAAATGTGCGATCCGCGTGCAGCGTAAATAAAGTTGAGAACTGGTAGTAGTAATAGTAGTAGTAGGCAGAGAGTTCTATACTTCCTAGTATCAATTATTTGGCTTGAAATATCTATACATATCCGAATGCACGGTCATGTCGTGTAGGACTATCTACATAACTAATTGAATAATGGAATTACCGCACTACACGTGTATTTACATACGCCTCAATTACGGCCCGATCCGAGGAGTATACGTATTATAAGCAAACTGCGGACCGGAATGTTTATCTAGGCTAAATAATAAACATCGCTCGGAAATCCACCATATTTGTGCAAACGTTATTAACTCTTTTATTTTCATTTTATATTCTCTCTTGTATTTCAATTGGTTCCGATTTCAAAAGAGGCTGCAATCTGCGCGCGATCACCCGTTTCAGGAATTCCAATACTTTACACAATATGATTATAAGCCGCTCTGGACTACATGCATTATGCCATTCAATGGGATGTAATTATTATTAAATTAAATAACTAGTCTCGGGACGGTCATTAAACAGTTATTGATTGAACGTAGTTTAGTCATGATTATAATGGCAGCAGCCAACGACCACACACCAAAAAAAAGAGGTATAGAAGCCGCGGAAAACGGGCTCAAGGATGTGCTTTTCCACGGATTTCGACGAAGCCTCTCGGGCATCTCCAATTATTACTTTACGTAATGCAAACAATGATCTCACTTTCTTTTTATTTATTTATTTTTTGATCCTTTACTCTTGTTTTGGGGGGGAAACTAGTTCGACGGTTTTAGAAAGGATTCTGAAGGGACGAGGAGCCAAAAGTAGGACTCCGCTTTTATAATGTATGCACGGATGCTCCAATTTCTCTGCAGTGAGCGATAGATATTGTGCAGATTAGATCGAATGGTGTCCTCTACGTAACAATTGCAGACACATGAGGAAACAGTTAGATGTAATACCCTTTGATATATCCTGTCTACCTACTATTCAAGTTTACTATTTTACAATCCATTCTTCTCGCATAAAAAACTAACCTGAAGTATTTTAAATTGTCCTGATTATTCAAACTTAATGTCAATCATTATTTCATTTAAAAATAAAGTTCATTAATGAACTTTTTTTCTAGTTTTTTTTTTAATAAATTAACAAATATTGATTTTTTCATATAAAAGCTAATTTCATATAAAAGCTATTCAAGTTTACAATCCATTCTTCTCGTATAAAAAAAACTAACCTGAAGTATTTTAAATTGTTCTGATTATTCAAACTGATTGTCAATCATTATTTCATTTAAAAATAAAGTTCATTAACGAACTTTTTTTCTAGATTTTTTTTTTAAATAAATTAACAAATATTGAAATTTTCATATCAAAGCTAATGTAATATAGATTTAAATTAGTATAAAACTATTTTGTTTTCTTTATAGAATTAATTTAATAAAAATTTTAAAATTAAAAGAAATCTACTAAAAGTATAGCAAATATTACACATTAAAGAACTTTTTTGTTAAAATCTATTAAAAATGCAGTAAAAATTACGTATTAAAGTTTTCACGTTGTGTGAAATAACTGATATATTGTGAGTAATAAAATTGTTACAAATTTTCGATATACAAATGAAAGTCAATATAATATAGATTTTAGTTACTATTATTTCCATAAGTTTTTCATAAATTGATCTTTAAATTAATTTAATTAAAAATCGTAGCTTCAAATTTTTGTTTTTTATTTTATTGAAAGCTGTCAAATTGTTTAGCAAATATTGAATAATTGTATTTAAGTATAGTTTATATACATTGTAAAATATTTATTTAATTATTGATTAAAATGTTAGTAAATTTTATATTAATTTTTTATTCATTTCTTGAAAACTATCAAAATAAAACGAAATTTTTAATATACCTGTGAAATTTTCCACTTTATAGATGAACATTTTCTGTAATTATTATTTGCTGTAGTTATATGGGATTTTTATGTATTTCTCGAAATTTTGTAAAATATTGATTATTTTTTAATATACTACTTTATTTCTACTTTATAAATGAAAATTTGCTGTAATTATAAGATTTCTATGATATTTATTTATTTTTTTGTCAATTATAATAATTAAAAATAAACATAAAGAAATAAAATTAGGATTTTTATGTATTTCTCGAAATTTTGCATNNNTTTTGCAAAATAATGCCAAATATTGATTAATTATATTAATTAATAATTAAGTAAGAATTTAATGAATTATTGTTTAGTGTTATTAAATATTTCTTAAAAACTTTCAAATTTATGCCAAATTTTATATAATTATGTTAAAGATTTTTATATTTGAATTGTAAATTTTACAAATAAACTATTAAAAATGTGTTAATTTCTGTAGTTTTAGTGATTAACAATTAAAATTTAAACATTCGTATCAAAAAATATAGTTTTTAAATTTGTTTTTTTATTTTATTAAAAGTTATCCAATTGTTTAGCAAATATTGAATAATTGTATTGAAGTATAGTTTATATTGATGAAATTTTAGTAAATTTTATAATATTTTTTGCTTCATTTCTTGAAAACTATCAAAATAAAACGAAATTTTTATCTATATTAGAAAATTTCATAGGTAATATTCTAATATAGATGAAAATTTGCTATAATTATAAGATTTCTATGATTTTTATAATTTTTTTGTCAATTATAATAAATAAAAACAAACATAAAGGAGTAAAATTGGGATTTTTATGTATTTCTCAAAATAATGTCAAATATTGATTATTAATTAAGTAAAAATTTAATGAATTATTGATTAGTGTTTTTAAATATTTCTTAAGAACTTTCAAATTTATGAGAAATTTTATATAATTATAAGTTTTTTATATTTGAATTGTTTTTCTTTGTAAATTTTACAAATATACTATTAAAAATGTGTTAATTTTTGTAGTTTTAGTCATTAACAATTAAAATTGAAACATTTTAGTATATCAAAAAATATAGTTTTTAAATTTGTTTAAATTGACATAATTGAATGCAAGCAAACATAAATTTAAGAGATTAAAACAAAATTTATTATTTCAGCCGCATTCCAAAAGAATCTCAACAAATGTTTCAATGATAAAATGTACATTTAACCTACAATATTATTAATAAATAAACAAAGCGATAAATAAAACTATCCAAAATAAATGTAAACTCACCACTCGTTGAACTATATTCACCTATATATCTTTTGGTTAGGTAACGGACGGTCACAGCTAGAAAAGAGAGAAAGAAAGAGTCAAAAACATGCCATAAACAACAAATTGCATACAATCAGCATAAATCAAAGAATTTAATTGAAATTCTCCACATGATAAATCACGGATTATAAATAAAAAAAAAACATATAATGTATACAAGAAAAACATGATGAATTAAAATACGGTAGGCCTTGCAACTGGTGTTATTTTTATTTTCATCCTGTAGAAAGTTGACTTATCTTAATTACAATATCTTAATGTTTGTCTGTTGTTTTTGATATTGCGAAATCGAAGAAATTTTCAAAATTCAACATTGATTGACACAAGGAGACGATCATCAATCCTCTCTGCGTGCTTTCACGGCGCTAAGAAACGTTACCAATTTCCAATCACCAGTTTTTAATTGGTTAATTAACGGCGCATATCTGGCGCCAAGAGAATAAAGAGAAGAACTGAACAACAAAAAAGATATTTAGAGAACATAATGCAACCTATTTTCACTCGTAAAGATGGAATTAAGATAGAGGCGGTCTCGTCTATGATTAACAGTTTATTGCCAATGTTATCTACACTTTATTGCTCATCGTTTCAGGATAAACCACATCAAAAATTAAGCTCTACCACTCGTTATAGAATGATTGATTCACTGATGTCTTAGTTGAATGATTGGGATTTAAGAAAAACGATTAGTGGGATGTGGTAATAGTTGATTTTTTTTTTCTTGGATCGGGCAGAAGAGAAAACGTTTATGTAATTTGGGTGGCCCAGAAATAATCGTAACACTTCCCCAAAAATTAAATGCACTAATCTACATATTAATAAGATCACGTGGGTTTTCCTCTATTGTCGTTATAATTAATTACGTATTAATTAGTTTTTTTGTTTCTGTTTTTTTTTAATTAGGTTTCGAAACAAGCGTTCACTAATCATCTGGAACGGATACTTGAAGAGCAAATAAAATGAAACAAACAAATAACTGTTATGAGCTTGTATCTAATTTAATTGGGAACTGTTTAAAAATTGAATAAGAAGTATCCATGCTTAACGTACTTAGCACAGATAACATTTCAATTGACAATTGACCGTAAAATAAGTCCCATTTGCAATGCTAATTGCAGACACATAAAGTCATATCTTATTTCCAATGATCATGTGTGTGTTGGTGTTGTGTCTATATGTACACACGTTTCTATCCTTACTTCGTCGACGTGTGGTGCGTGGAGTGTGCAGTGTCTGCGCTTTATAACTTAATATTGTTTGATGTATCGTGTTACCAGTTGCAACGACAATTTTATCATTTGTTCTTTCGATGCTGAAAACCTACTTAAGAAACCACTCGAGATTTCCGAGCACGCAAAACGATTTGTAGCGTTTTATCGTTTTGGTTACAACGAATCGATGATCACCAGAAATGCAAACACAAACACGTATAATTAAGCCATTAAGCTATTCGTCTCCGGTTCGAATTAATTAATTGGTCGGACCGAATTCGATGATACAACGCAGTGTTTAGATAGATATAAATTACATTGAGATTAGAAGCATAGGTGTTTGTATTGTATCTATTAACAAAATCAATGTAAAACTTAAGAAATTGATTAATCTTAATAAATTGATTACTCGACAACCCCGTATCTTAATTATAAGTATGTACACTTTCATTAAAGTTAAATATACAAGCTTTAATTTGAATATCTTGAGAGATTTGTAGCTGTAGAAAATTTTCTGGAATAAATTGTAAAAGTTTAAAATTATTTAAAAAAAATGCACTTTCTTCACTTATTAAAGTATTTTTCAACAAATACGCATGATAGGTCTAAATATAAATATTCTAATTAAAGCTAAATGTATAAGCTTTAATTTGAGCATATTTGTAGATATTTAGATATTGTCATTTTTTCTGTAACAAGCTGTCAAAATTGAAAAAAATATTTTTATAATGTTTCAAAAAATGCAGTATAAATTATTTTCTCGACAAACACGTACTTTAATTATAAGTATGCTTCTAATTAAAGCTAATACAAGCTTTAATTTGAATATTTTGACAGATTTATAGCTGTAGACAATTTTCTGGAATTAATTGTCAAAGTTTAAAAATATTTTTAACAAAATGCAATGTCTTCACGTATTCAAGTATTTTTCAACAACTACACATGATAGGTTTAAATATAAATATTCTAATTAAAGCTAAATGTATAAGCTTTAATTTGAGCATATTTGTTGGTATGTAGATATTGTCATTTTTCTGTAACAAGCTGACAAAATTAAAAAAAATATTTTTATTATTTCAAAAAATTTCAAAAAATGCGGTATTCATTATTTTATCGACAACCACGTACTCTAATTATAAGTATGCTTCTAATTAAAGCTAAATATACAAGCTTTAATTTGAATATATTCAGAGATTTGTAGCTGTAGACAATTTTCTGTAAATTGTAAAAGTTTAAAAATATTTTTAAAAAAATGCACTGTCTTCACGTATTAAAGTATTTTTCAACAACTACACATGATAATTTTAAATATAAATATTCTAATTAAAGCTAAATGTATAAGCTTTAATTTGAGCATATTTGTAGGTATTTAGATATTGTCACTTTTTCTGTAACAAGCTGTCAAAATTGAAAAAAAATATTTTTATAATGTTTCAAAAAATGCAGTATTAATTATTTTTTCGACGACCTCGTACTTTAATTATAAGTATGCTTCTAATTAAAGCTAAATATACAAGCTTTAATTTGAATATATTCAGAGATTTGTAGTTGTAGACAATTTTCTGTAAATTGTAAAAGTTTAAAAATATTTTTATAAAATTGCACTGTCTTCACGTATTAAAGTCTTTTTCAACAACTACGCATGATAGGTTTAAATATAAATATTCTAATTAAAGCTAAATGTATAAGGTTTAATTTGAGCATATTTGTTGGTATTTAGAAATTGTCATTTTTTCTGTGACAAGCTGGCAAAATTGAAAAAAATATTTTTATAATGTTTCAAAAAATACAGTATTCATTATTTTCTCGACAACCACGTACTTTAATTATAAGTATACTTCTAATTAAAGCTAAATATATAAGCTTTACTATAAATATCTTTCAATAATTGTAACTACAGCCATTTTCCTACACTAGTTGTCAAAAATTTAAAAACAAACTCAAGAAAATGCAATCTTCACATTTTTACGTAATTCTCGACAATCAGGTATGATAATTATAAGTATGTACGTAGTAGTTAAAGCTAAATAATCAAGCTTTAATTTGAGTATACTGTAACCATTTTTATATAATAAACTATCTAAATTTTAAAATATTTTTAATGTCTCAAAAAATGCACAGTTTTCGCGTTTTAACGTATTTCTCGACAATTATAAATATGAATATTGTAATTGAAGCTAAATATATAAGCTTTAATATTAATATATTGTCAGGTTTGTAGTCATTCAAATTTTTTATGTAATTTAATAAAACATTTTTTGAAAGAAGTGTCTTAAACTACTTAAGATAATTATAAGTGTGAGTAGTGTAATTATAGCTAAAACTGTAGGTTTTAAGGTGTGTGTAAAGATTTTCTATTAGTTTACAAGCAAACATTATGTCCGACAAAGATTTACTAATTATTATTAATTTTTTAATTTGTTGAAATTAATTCAGGTGTGTGTGTTATTTTTTTGGTCGTGATATGTTCGCATAAATATACCCGATGTTATACTAATCCGCTTAATGTCGGAATATCCTAACTGGAAGTGTCGGCTGCCTTAAATGAAATCAACACTTTCTATTAAGTTATTAGCATTTAAATGCTAATGAGTCTCGAATATCGCATATAATTAGATAACCATAGTAGGCTGTGTGTATCCTTTTGTTTTTGCCCTCGAATGGAGAGAAGATAGGATGGTAACTGTGCACAAAAATGATCGTTGTTCAGACTTAATTGCGAAGAGAGGATAACGAAATACATCGACTTGAGCATAGCGTAAAATGAATGGACAAATAAATCAGAACTCCGGAGACAGGACCTCGAGCGAACAACAACAACAAGAGCAACATTTGCGCAGACAAAAGAAAGAATAGAGAAAGAGAAAAAAATAAGAAATGCTAAATTTATAAGAATATCCCTGTGGCCCGAGACAATGGGTTCGGGTGGAAAGCCGTGTTGCGTAACGAGTCTATTGGAAATTTTGCAACTCAATATCAGATAAGGGATCTGCGGCGAGTGAAAGTTCTTTGAGAGGCAGAAAACAAACCAAAAAAAAATAAATTTATATATAAAGAATGCTTAAAGTGATGACGATCAGGGTTCATCCGCGAATTGATTGATTTGGCTTCTTTTATCTTATCTTCGGAAAGCAGGGTTTCTGCTGTTCTTGTTGATGATGATGATGAAGAGGAGACACCTCGTCCGGACCAATTAACATATCGATAAATTGAAATAGCAGTGTCCTGGCGTATCGTTTTTTTCGATCTTCGCCAAAATTTATTCACACACGAGCGGCTTTCTTCGTTTCTTTCAACTTTGCGCTATATATATATATATAAGAACGTTTCACTTTTTTTTTCTTCTTCCTCTACATCGTATATTGAGTTATTAAGTGTAGATATCAATTTCGTTAATTATACGTTGCCCGCCTTTTTTCTCACTTATTAAAATATCCGTATCGAAAAATCGATCTCTTGAATTATGTCAGCTCCATCTAAATCATTTGAACACGTTGCTAATTGGAGCATCACATCTCCTCACCTTTGACTAAATCTTAGTCCAAATAAACATATTAAATTGATAAAATTAAAATTATACTTTTAGTATTTATCTAAATACAATACAATTTATCTTTTTATAAAAATAATTAGAATAATGTAACTTTCATACTACTTTTTCGTATAGAAAGGATACAATTACAAAAAAGTTTAAAAATATTTTTTATAAAATGCACTGTCTTCACGTATTAAAGTATTTTTCAACAACTACACATGATAGTTTTAAATATAAATATTCTAATTAAAGCTAAATGTATAAGCTTT